TCTGCACATCGTATCGGTTCTACCCGTCCGATTACCCACGTTTTTATTGGAAAACTGATTGGAGCCACGTGGGTTCGCGTTTAGATCCTTTCTGCGGTTAACCAGCTGGCAGGTAGATTAAACGAGTAGGCCACAAATGGGTTGGACGAAGCACTCCTGCTTATCCCCGTCGATTCCCGTAATCCAATTAGATAGAAATTAAAACTGAACCGGGTTCGTCGTCGATTTCGAACCAACTCAGAATTAAACCTAAATGGTTCGGTTATAATTCTTGATTTTTGAGAATCAAAATCGACTATTACTAAATCGACGATTTATAATTAAAATATATATAATTTTATATTAAATTTTAATTTTAATTTTTAATAAAATAAAAAAATGATATTTCGAACCAAATCGTTGACTTCGATTTCAGAATCGATCCAAGTTGATTCGATTCTGATTCCTGAGTTTTGGAAACCAAAATATAGATTCCGAAATTATTAAGATTATATAAAGATTCTGAATTTAAGGCAATAAAGATTATATGGTGTGTGGAATCCAATCAACTTATTATGAAACACCAATCAATCAGTTTATTATGAATTTGGTAAGCTAAATTTGAACATCCATTTTCATTTGTAATAAAAGATTATTGTCGGATATGCATGTGATCTTTTATAAAAATTGAACTGAAATAAAATATTGGATATAAAATATAAATTACTTTATCATCGAACTAACTTTTCCGTCGACTCTCATGTAACAAAGTTGTTTTTTCTTTTTTACTGGATGAGTTCTAACTTAATTTTATTACATAATTAATAAAAAAAATTGACTGTATCATGGGCTCAAGAAAAAATATTGGCTATCCTATATTTATATTTTGATGGGGATGAAAGATCCTATGTAAGCTTAGAGTAGCCGAGTAAGAGGTCTCTTCACTTTTGTTGAAGTTATCGTCGGGCTAATAATATATTACCCCCTATATTTATATTTTATTAGCAATACGATATTCTTAAAATTTTATAGTGAAATCTTTATAATTCTAAAAGTGAAACAAATAACTTCATTTGTCATAACAACATCAGTTATATTAATGAAAAATATAATACATGACACCACGTATTAGAGTATTAGATTGATACGAAAATGATAGATAAAAAGATAATTTCAACATTCTTTCATTTTTTAATGTTGAAATTATATTTTTACCACTAAAATCATTGAAAACGAAATAGATATTAAAATTATATTTTTATCTATCATTTTCGTATCGATCCCATGGTATTATGTGTCATGTTTTGTAATTAATGATCGATGAAATAATATTATTTATTTATTTTTAAGAATTATATGGATCATAATATAATTTTTTTAAAATACATAAATCAATGATGCTAGTAGATTTATATGCAATTAGTCCGGTATCATCTCACCACTTGGCACAAAGCTGCAAGATCCGCCCAATCACTGTCACACTCAGATGTTGTTTGTTTCGTTGCGGGAGCAAGCAAAGTTGGGTTGCAAAGGGTCATACTGTGTCAGATTGGACTTGTGTCGGGCATGGACAGACACAGACAAACATGGAAGAAGAGAAACAACCACCATGGCTACTGGTCTCGGCAGGAGGGCCGGAGAAGGGTGAGCCATTCATTCATTGCCATGCCTGCTTTAGAGTAAGAGACATTTCTTTTAGCATGCCATCACTACGTGTGTGTTGCAGACAGAAGTTTGATCCTCGTGCACACAAACAACATGGAGAAACGCCATGACTGACACAGAACATGCAGATGAGCAATTTGAGAAAATGCCACTGCAAGGTGGTGATATCTTGGTCATTGCTGTCCACAGAAAACCGTGTGCCAAGCAATAGTGAATGCAGAAGGGACTAAACTGTCGTTGAAGATACCTTGACTTTGAAGTGAATCAAATCATCAGAAGGGGTTGCAGTCAGATCAGCAAGACATCAATCTTGTTCTACACAGCATATAGTGTAGAATAGAATTAGTTCTTGGCTCTCCTACTATGAGCATTGATAAGTATATTTAGTTGTATATTGATCGAAAAATATGCTTTTTCTACTTATGTTAACTCATATATTTTGATGATGTAAATAGATTTTGCCTTTCATTCATCCAACCTTTTGCATCTCGTGCAGGTTAAAGGAGGGGATGGCACTCACATGTTTAAGAGCAAGAAAGGCAGCCAAAGATAAAGAAGAATCAGGACATGCACATCAGCATAAAGATGATGCTTGCCCCACCCTCGAAGGGATAGGAAAAAGAGGAGCATGGAGCTAAGAATTCAACAAGACTGTAATGCTTTGTCAACATGAGGATGTTGTGAAGGTCTAAAGAAACACACCAAGTATTATTAGATTAAGTATGAAAGGTCTTTGGATTCAAGTTTGGTTAGGAAAACCAAACCGAGGGAGAAAAGGATGAGATGGGAAAAGATTTTGACATTATATACATCAACATATTATGCATATTTCAGTGGTTACAAGAACCTGTATTACAGTAAAAGTAAGTATTGGAGAGGTCTTGTTTGATGTATTTGTCTGTCAGGATGATGATTAAGATATTACTGGAGTTCATATCAATTGTCCTATGATTCTTAACCTGCTAAAAGTATCATAGCAATATGTCAGTGCTCATCATTGTTCAAACATCTGTGGATCGAAATTAATTAAAGGGGTAGAGATTCTACATAAATTCACTTTTATATTATATTTGACGAGTAATCATAAATCAAATCCAAAACCGCAGGAATCAACAACTCGATGCAAGCCATCTCCGGCACAAATTCTTTGGTGTTAGCTTGTAAACAAAGCCAAACGAATCAAAAGATGGATTTGATATCATTAGATTAAGCAACTGCAGCCCCTCTTAAGCACACAAACCCACAAGTTTGTAGGGGAAGGAGTCCCAAATCTTGTTTCTTGGCAACTGCTGTTGGACGGTGAAGCCTTTTATAATATGGAAATATTATATGGATAAAGTTAATGATTTTTTAATTTATCCCACTAAATTTATTATATATATATTCTTATAAGACTTAAGAAAATAAACATGGAGTTGATCTATGTTAAAAGAACCATTAGCAATTTAGTTTACGTCAAGAACTAAACCAATCGATAATTAATTTCATGGTCAAATCGAAAGGGATGTTTTATACTAATTCACTTCCAAATTCCTTTAGAAAAAATTAAATTTAAATATTTATAAAAAATAAGTGAAAATAATAATTTCAGAACCTTAATCGACTATTTAAAATTTATTTTTCTCATAACTAAAGTAATCAATTTTAGAATCAAGCATAAGAGTGTTAAAGCCTCAAAACATTATAAATATATATTTTTTACATTTATTACTTTAAATTTATATATGATAATAAAAAAGTAATTTAAGATTTAATATATATATTTTTTAACTCATTAATAATAACCAACATGAGTTTATTAAACAGATACTAATAAGAGCCACATATATGAAATATTTATATATTCGAAGGGATTTACATGCCACATTATGTTATTTCTAATCTTCTATATAATATATCTATTTTCAAATAGGTAAAATTATATACACATCAGTCCAAATTTTATGATATTTATATTTGTCACTTTAAATTTAAGTTTAGTGTTTTTATCTCTATAAAACTTAAAAACCTTAAACAAATATAATACAGTTAATCATTTTAGTTCAAACTTCAAATAATATTCATATCCTTCACGTAGTAAATTAACCTTAATAATGAACAAATTCTAATGATATATATATTTATATATCAGTCCAAATTTTATGATTTTTATATTTTTCACTTTAAATTTAAGTTTAGTGTTTATATCTCTATAAAACTTAAAAACCGTAAACAAATATAATACAGTTAATCATTTAAGTTCAAACTTCTTTTAATATTAATATCCTTCATGTAGTAAATTAACCTAATAATGAACAAATTCTAATGATAGGGTTGGATTTGAATATTATATATATATATATATGTATATATATATATATATATGTATATATATATATATGTATATATATATATACCAGAGGGCTAAATATGGTTAATCTCGAACTTGCAAAGGGTAGATGTGTAAAAGTATCATTTTCCGTAATAAATAAGTAAATAAATAATAATGCATACATATACTACAATACTGAGTCCAACTCGCACCACCCACTCCCACCCACCCACCCCCCCACATGCCAACAACCGGCCGTGGCGATACACTGCATGCCCCCTCCTCCCCTGGCCTGCTCCTCACCTTGACACCAACACCCTTGACAGGCCCCCAGTCTTGCACGGCACACCTTTGCTCCCACCCAATAATTGCCTCTGTTCCCTGTCACTCTGACTTCTGACCACCGCATCTGCCGCTTCCTCGCCCCACCGTCTTCTTTCTTATCCTTCTCCCCGTGCGTTCCCCCCACCCATCATCGTCCTACCTAAACCCGCCTTTTAATATGGCTTCTTCGCAGGTTAAACTACTCGCTTCATGTGACCCACTCACATGTGAGACTCCCGCTTTGAGGATTTGGTGTTTAGTGTGTCTCGTCACGATGGGGACGCTTTGGTCTGCGATTTTGCCGTCGATTAGTTTTAGGGATTTACGCGTGGATCGGAGCCGTCGATTGGCGGCTGGATCCATCTCCGACCGCTTGCGTGGCCGCCCCCGGGAGCCCTTCTAAGATCGCCCGAGAGAGTCGCTCGGGGAACGGACGAGATGGGGCGCGCCGGGGGTGGTGCTCCCTCGGAGCAGGATAAGGTTGCGGGAGGGGGTGGTGGTAGGATGCTGCCGCGTTCCGTGTCGGAGAGCGGAAGACCAGGTGGTCCGACGGACCGAGGGGATACCAGAACCGAGATAAAGAGTGGGAAACGCGAACGGGGAAACTGGGGTCGGGAGGGGACAAGAGGGGCGGTGTAGGGTCTCTCAGAGACAGCGAGGAAAAGGTGAGGAAGATTATATTTGCGAAAACACCCTTCCGCCTCTCCTCGTTAAAGCAGGAGTGGTTCCTTTACCCCCCGCCCCCCCAACCTTTTCCTTCTGCTCATTTCCTCCGCCATTTCCTCCTCCTCCGTGGTGATTCCTAGGATTCTTCTTCGGCGCCTCGATCGCGGCGTCTCGAGCGACCGGGGAGATCGGTGTTCTAGGAAGAGGTAAATTCCTTTTTTCTCTGGGTGATTTTATCTGGCTGTGATGGTAGCGTTTATCTTGCTTTTCCTTTCGTATTCCTGGAGAGGATTTCTTGTTAGATTTGGGGTCTGGTCGACGACTGTGGGATTTTGCGGTGGAGGAGTGTAACGAGGTCCGCGGGTTCCCCATCGCCTTGGTGGTCTTTGCCCCAGATCTGTGGTTTCGGAGGAGAATTATCGCCAAAGGCGGCGCTCTTCTACCGTAGCGCTTACGGTGAATCCGGAGGCGTAAAAGGGGTGCTTTACGCGCCTCCAGCGGGGGTCAAGGGACCAAGCACCTGCGGTTTCAAAAGTGGGACGGAGGCGAAGAGTGGGGAGCGTCGCTCGAGGCGCTTGTACTAGCGTGCCTCGTCACGAGAAGCAAAAAAAGTCAAATTTGCAGAGGAGGGGTCAGAAATAGGAAGTTCAGATTCTATTTTTAGCTGTGGCACCTTTCACCGAAGTAATCGAGTATTCATTGGCATTTTGCTAGGGGCTTGTGTGAGGGTGCATATTTTTTGGGGCTGCTTCAGAATTAACGCGATAATCTCGAGGGCTTGTACGATTATTTAAGCTGCTTTTGGGGCTTGAAAGTGCAGAGCCGGCTGTTCTTGTTGTTTTTGTCTGTAAAGTTGAGCGTTTACTATGACTGCGGCTCCACCGAATAGTTCATCCACAAGACACGGTTCAGGTTACCTTGATTTTCTTTTTTCGTTTGATGCATGCCATATAGAGCTGATTTTACTTTTTTGTTCTCATGTTTGATGTTGTTGTCATTTTTTTTATTTCTTTATATATTTTTGATCTGATGCTTGACTTAAAATTTTGTGGAGATTAATATGGCAGCAGATGTGTTATCGAGATTTACCCGATGAGTAACTGGTTTTTCAGTCCCTTCAAATTTCGTCATCTTTTTTTAGATGGTGCTTGTATGCTAAACTTAATCTACTTTAGAGTGGTTTCTTGTTAGTTCTAATATGCTTTCCGGTTTTTTTTCCGTATACCTAATTTTGTAAACAGTCGTTTTCTGAACTGGTCTTGGATGATCGCCTTGTTCTCTTCTCCGTGGATGCTGAGTATGTTCGTTGAATTGAGATCATTCATTTGGTTCTGGTTCTTGGATTTGGTCAAGGAACCTCTTTTGCCTCTCTTTTCATTTCATCTATCCTCCTGCGTTGAAGATCCTGTAACGTTTCCAGATTTCAGGAATTTTGTGTTCCCGTTTCAGGAGATATAGTTATATTGCTTTTTCATTTACCATCTTATTAACTGCTTGTCATTTATAGAAAAAATTGGCTCTAGATGCTGAGCTCAATATTAATGTTAATACTTTTATTCCTCACTGTCGGTGGAAAATTTCTATATCTAGGGCCCAGTCAAGATGTCTTGTACCCAGAACTATGGAAAGCCTGTGCAGGACCTTTGGTTACTCTACCTCGTGAAGGAGAAAGGGTTTATTACTTTCCTCAAGGTCATATGGAGCAGGTACTTCATACATATAGTAATTTTTGCATCTATTTTCTTTCTATATGCTTTGTCTTTCAAGAGTGATCAAGCTGACCTGTCTAGTAAGTTGCAATGTCCATTAGATCCTGCATATTTTTGTTGGCCCTTTGTGTTGATCTACATTTTCGTTCTACACCATCTACCATCTTCGAGTAAAATGTTCCACCCCCTGCTAGCGATATAGCACCTAATCTTTCCTTTAGGACAGCAGAGTTGATTAGTGTTTCCATTAAACTCGGATTACTTGAAACAGTGTTTTGAGTTAAAACTATACAGTTAAAATGGCCTATTGTCCAAAAGATAAGATAACTGGATGCAGATACTCATATGTAGATTTTCTTTTCTGTTGTCTTGTAGCTTGAAGCATCAACAGATCAAGAGCTTGACCAGCAAATGCCCTTGTTTGATCTGCCATCAAAAATCTTATGCAGGGTAGTTTATGTTCAACTTCAGGCAAGTCACTTCCAAGACATGATTTAACTGAGTATTCACTTGTTACCCTTCGTCCTTCATGTTTAATTCACCGGTGGACTGAATTATGTTCTTTTGTTTTGTGTACTTATTCAGGCCGAGCCTGATACAGATGAAGTATATGCACATATTACATTGCATCCTGAGATAAATGTAAGTCTTTCTTATTTATCTTTGACTTCTAGATCATGCCACAGTCTATATCAGTCAAGATTTTCTGATGCTCTCCTTCTAAAGATGGTTTGCAAAATCACAAAATCAGAACATAGTTATTTTCTGCTTCATATTATAATATCAATGTGTATCTTTAGAATACTGATTCTGTAAACAAAATGAAAAGTTTCGGTTTCTAATTATTGTGTGACCTTGGAGTGACCACAACCAGTAACCTGATAACTTTGCTTCATGTAAACTTGTCGTTTGACCTTGGTTTCATTTGATGCTTCTTTGTTTTCCTAGCAAACGTATTTTCATTTTTCTGCCGACCTCTTTCACTTGTTACTTCTATATTTAATTAGCAAGGTGAAGTTACCAGCCCAGATCCTCCACTGCCTGAGCCTAAAACTTGCAACGTCCGTTCCTTCTGCAAGACACTAACTGCATCAGACACAAGCACTCATGGGGGGTTCTCAGTGCTTAGGAAGCATGCAGATGAGTGCCTTCCTCCACTGGTCAGTTGCTGTTACGATGTTCATATTGCTTGTATGCCCGTTGATCATGTGTAACTTGCATTTACAATTTGATAATTTGTTTCACTTTGTCTATTAATTTTCTTTCTTGCTACTTTTGTTCATTGGATATGACTCAGAATCCACCGTGGCAAGAATTGGTTGACTTTGTTTTTCACTTTGCCTAGTAATTTTGTTTCTTGCTACCTTTCTTCATTGTTTAGGATATGACCCAGAATCCACCATCGCAAGAATTGGTTGCCAAAGATCTTCATGAGAATGAATGGCGTTTCCGACACATTTTTCGAGGTACATGCATATATTGTCAAATTGCTATAAGTAAGATAATTTCTGCTACTTTTTTGCTCAATGTCACAAAGTTTTTTCTCTGTCATCCGACTTTCAGACTAGAAGTCTAGAACTTTGCTTTTTGTCAGGATAAGAGAAGTTTTGATGTTTGAAGTCTATTGTACTTCCATTTGCCATTTCATTCATTACTTCATTACTTTCTGTAGTAGAATGTGGCAACCCTGTTTGACTTTCTAGGAGAAGGTTGCCACTGTCTTTTGGTAGTACATTTCTATTGTAATTTTTCTCGGAGTACACTGTGTTTCAATGGTTTGATGTGATAGTGATTTATGATGGTCCATACAAGTCTCTTAATTAATGCCTAACATTTATTCGTTTAGTTGGTTTTCATATTTGTAAATTTCTAGAGGTTTGTTGTCTTTTTCATGCCACCTGCAGTACTAAAAAAAGAAATATGCTAATATGAGTTTCAAATTCTCTTTCAGGACAGCCCAGGCGCCATCTGCTCACAACTGGTTGGAGTGTCTTTGTTAGTTCTAAGCGGTTGGTAGCTGGTGATGCATTTATCTTTCTAAGGTCATGGCTACTCTGTTGGCACTTATCTTTAATATTTGTCATTGAAGATACATGTTGTGCTCATAGTGGACCTTGTTGGATAAAAGATTCCTTTAATCTTGGGAAATGATAATGAAGTTCTTGTATCCCTGTACATGGCAGAGGTGAGAATGATGAGCTACGGGTCGGTGTGAGAAGGCTTATGAGACAGCTAAATAGCATGCCATCGTCAGTCATATCCAGTCATAGCATGCATCTTGGAGTTCTGGCTACTGCATCTCATGCTCTTGCTACAGGGACTCTTTTTTCTGTTTTTTACAAGCCCAGGTTAGATTCTTCTTTAGCTGTACCATTGTTTACTTAAAAGTAAATGCCAAGTCTGATGTTCCTTTCTTGTTTCCTTGATCTCTATCTCTCTAACAAGTAACATGAACACATACTCACAGGCAAGCATGTCAGTGGTGTTTTGTTTTAATTGGATTAGCAATGCAGGTCTAGTTTTATCAAGCTGCTTGGTTCTCGAACATTTTTGTCCGACTATATTGAGTTGGAAATATTTCCATCGTTGTATAGGTTTTCAGATGAAAACAGAAACATGAAATATCACACTGGGTTTCCTTTTCTCTGCTCTAGTTTTTCTAGTAATTGCTTGATATGCTTCTAGTTTGTGTAAGACGCAAGGAGCTTTGCGTTGTGTATGTACTCAAATTTGCACAATTTTATTTAAAGGCAATTGATCTATTAAAAATTGTTCGTTTTTTCAGGACAAGTAGATCAGAGTTCATCATAAGTGTCAACAAGTATCTTGAAGCCAAGAATAACAAATTTTCTGTTGGAATGAGATTTAAAATGAGATTTGAGGGTGACGAAGCCCCAGAACAAAGGTACTTATGCAGTCGATTATAATGGTCACCAAGTACATTATGATGTTAAATCTGCAGTTTGCAAGGTACTGTTTTGCACTTTTACAGGTTTAGTGGTACTATAATTGGTGTAGACACCGCATCATCTCGTTGGAAAGATTCAGAATGGAGATCCTTGAAGGTGGGGACTTGTTGTTATTGGGCTTCTATGCATTATGCCAACTGCAAGTTTATCATATCAACATAGTTGATATTGGTGATTTTAAACTTTGGTTGCTGGATGCATTTGTATGTTTATTGCCTTTGTTTCATAAGTGGCGGTTTGATTTCTATGTTTAGGTCCAATGGGATGAACCTTCATCCATCCCACGTCCAGACAGAGTTTCACCATGGGAATTGGAACCACTTCTTACAGGTACTCCAAACTCTCAACCAGTGCAGAGGAACAAGCGGACACGACCATCGGCTTCGCCCACTATAACATCAGATATTACTCCAGCGTTTGGTATCGACTTCTATACCTTTTTGGCTCAGTCATTTTCTATGAGATAGTTGAACTCAGGTTATTCTGAAGTTGTCCCTTTTTATCGATATGCCATTTTGGATGTTATATGTATCCTACAATTTTGTTTATTTCCTTGGTACTTTTTGTAGATACGTAAAATTATTGTTCCCATAATGCAGTGTATCCTCATTTAGTGTTGTTACTGTCAAACAACACTCTTAAAATTGTTTTATCATCAAACAACGTAAAAAAATGGTTGTTTTCATTATTTAAGGCTTCTTATGAATATCCTGGTTTGTTGTCATGTGAGGTTTTTTCAGAAAAAAATGAAAAAAACTTCCTACCTTTTTTTCAAGATGGAAACTGTAAACTGAAAACACGCAAAACATTGAACCTGTTAAAAGTTTGAAGGTAAAAGTACAAAAGACCAGCAAATCTTTCTGTTGATGGCATTTGTAATACATGCATAATCTTATATCACTATTAAGAAACCATCATTAATTTAAGATAAATAAAAGATCCTTATATCTTATTTGTTTATTTTAGCCTTTAATTGGTTTTTCAACATTTTTTAATTAGCTCTCATGCTGTTGCAGGTTTATGGAAATCTCCTGCTGAGAGTACCAGGACATTCTCAGTTTCTGGTTTGCAAAGAGGAACAAAACTACATACATCTTCCTGCCCTACATCTCGGTTCTTATCAGCATCTAAGCCTGGCTTGATTGAATTTAATGCAAGCAATAAATCATCAGCTGCTAACATCCCCATGTGCCGGCCAATCACGTCAGAACATCAAACTGATTCTTTTGGGGCAGATAAAGAACATAGTGAAAGGAAGCAAGAAACTAGTACAGGCTGCTGGCTGTTTGGGATTCAGCTAGTTGAGAGTTCTGCGGTAGAGGAAATATCTCCACTGACTACCATTTCTTGTGTTAGAGATGAACAAACAGTGACATCTTTAGATGTAGAATCAGATCAGCAATCTCAACCATCAAATGT